TCTCTCCCTCCCTCCCTCCCTCCCTCCCTCCCTCTATTCTTCCGTCCCTCTCTGCCTGCTGTCTGTGGAGCAGGATTTAAAGCTCTCAGCTACTGCTCCAGCACCATGTCTGTCTGCTTACCTCCACGGTGATATGAACTGGCCCTCAAAAACTGTAAGCAAGCCCCAATTAATACTTTCCTTTATAAGAGTTGCCTTGGGCATGACATTCCACTGGGTGGCAGGAGGGTTTCATTGTTTTAATTTGCAATTTGCTGATGACATGCAATATTGAACATATCTATGTACTTAATATGTTTAATATTTAGCATGTGTTTTTGTGCATGTGTGTGTTCATGCCACAGCACATGCGAAATCAGAGGACAGTTTATAGGTATCAGTTCTCTTTTCACTATGTATATTTTGGGGATCAAATTCAGGTCATCAGGTTTAGTGGCAAGCACCTTTATCTACTGTGCTAACTCAGCAGCCCTTATATACATTTGCAATGATGATTTATCTTTAAAAAAATCTGTGCATATGTATGATATATGAATGTGGGTGCGTGTGTATATGCAGGTGTGTGTACTCATGCCCGTGTGTGTGTGTGTGTGTGTGTGTGTGTGTGTGTAGGCCAGAGCTTGACATCCTGTGTCTTTCTTGATTGTCTCCATCTTGTTTTTATTTTGTTTTGGAGACAGGGCCTCTCTATATTGCCTTGACTGGCCTCGAACTCACAGATATCTGCCTGCCTCTGCCACCAGAGTGCTGGAATTAAGGTGTGTACCACCACACCTGTCTCTCCACCTTTTTTTGGGGGGGGCAGGGTTTCTTACTGAGTCTCGAGCAGACATTTGAGTTAGCCAGGCTGGCCAGTGAGGTTGTGGGCTCCTCCTGCCTCTCCTTCACAGCCATGTGAGGCTGCAGCATACAGCACTACACTCGGGCTGCAGCGTACAGCACTACACTCGGGCTGCAGCATACAGCGCTACACTCGGGCTGCAGCGTACAGCGCTACACTCGGGCTGCAGTGTACAGCGCTACACTCGGGCTGTAGTGTACAGCACTACACTCAGGCTGCAGGCATACAACGGTGCACTCGGGCTGCAGGCGTGCAGCACTACACTCGGGCTGCAGGCGTGCAGTGCTGCACTTGGCTGCAGGCATACAGCGCTGCACTTGGCTGCAGGCATACAACGCTGCACTTGGGCTACATGTCGAAGCTGGGCAGCTGCACTGGTTCTCATGCTTGAGTAGCAGGTGTTTCATGCACTGAGCTGTGTCCCCAGTTCCAGGGATTTACAGTCACGATTGTCAACTGGATTGGGTTCAGACCCACCTAGGGAAGTCATAAAACCCACCTCTGAGTGTCTGTGAGGGCCCCCAGCAAGGACTGGTTAAAGGGTAACGATCCATTCCACCCACTTGGTGTGAGTGAGTGGCACTGTCACTAGGAGCTGTGGGTCTGGATGGAGCATCGGATGTGGTAGGCATTCTCTCTCTGTTTCCCGGCTTCTGTGATATGAGCAGGTTTGCCCCATCAAATGGCCGAAACCTTGGTAATCAGGAATGCGCACAAATCTTCCTTCCCTGGTCTGACCACAAATGCTGTCATAAAACGCACAACTGACCTTTGTTTGGCATCTGAGCATCATCGTCAGCGAAGGCCGAGACCTTCACTTGTAAATTGAGTTATCTAGGTCTTTATTTTTGTTTGACTTGAGTCTGGCCTCATGTAGCCGAGGTTGTCTCCGGACCTGCTATGTAGCCGAGGTTGGCCCTGCCCTCCTGTCTGCCCTGCATCCCTGGCTGCTATGACAACAGGTATGGGCCACTGTGCCTGCCTGGGTTGTCTGTGTTCTTTCTTGCTTCAGAGTTTTCAGAGTTTTGTGTATATTTCGGGCAGCAATCCTTCACCTGCTGTGGTTTGCAAAGGTCTCTTCACAATCTACAACTCTTCCACTCTCTCTTTTGAAATTCCTTACCTGTGTGTGTGCCCACTGCCTGCTGTGCATCGCACACGTGTGGGCGTCAGAAGGCAAGCTGTAGCTGGGCTCTCTCTCCCCCGTGTGGGTCCCTGGGGTCAAACTCAGGTCATCAGGCTCAGCAGACGCCCTTTATCTACTGAGCCATCTCAGTGGCCCTCTGTGTTCTCTTAACCCCTGCCCTTTGTTCTGCCCTTCTTAGCCCAAATCCACGTGCTCTGGGCATGCTCCACAGGCTTCCGTGTCAGGCCTATCCAGCCAATCAGAGTTTTTGATCGCCCTTGGCCTCAGAGCGTAGACGAGAAGTGGATCTCAGTGTTCGGAGCAGGATGCCTTCTAGGTTGCTATCACAATAGAGTGAAAGCCTGAATTTGGGGGTCAGAAAGGTCCTTTTTGAAGATTTGTGTATGTCAATACAAATGCAGATGCCCACGGAGGCTGGACGAGGGCATGAGAGCCCCAAGCTGGAGTTACAGGTGGTTGTGAGCCGCCTGAACTTCAGATGCTCTGCAAGGCCAGCAAGCCACCTCTCCAGCCCCTTAAGTTTGCTTGTTTTCAGACAACCTTAATGAGATTAGGCTTAGGTATAATAAGTTGCATAGGTTGTTTGATTTGAGACAGGGTCTCATGTACTTCAGGCTGGCTTCAACTTATTATGTAGCCCAGGCCGGCCTTAAATTCCTGCTCTTCCTGCCTCAGTCTCCCCAAGTACTGGGCTAGAGTGTGCACCACCATGCCCAGCTCTGATTTTCCAGAGATGCTTGTACACCCATGCTCACAGAGGGTGAAAGGAGGTAATCAAGAGTCTTCCAGCTGACGAGTGGGTGGCACTGAGGATATGGTGCCGTGTGAAGGCCTCACAAGCATGCACAGAGCCCACAGAGCCCTGGGGTCAATCTCCAGCTGCAGAAGTGCAACACAGCGAGGCAGTAGATGACCGAGCAAGCGCAGGTTTGTACACTTGCAGGTGATGGAGTACACTTCATCTTCGGAAGGAATCTCATGGCTGTGATCTCAGCGTGTGGGAGGCTGAAGCAGGAGACTCAACATGAGTTCAAGGTCAGCCTGGGGGAGAGGAGTGGGGAGAGGAGAGGAGGGGAAAAGGAGGGGAGAGGAAGGGAAGAAAGAAGAGAAAGGGAGAAGAGGGGAAGGAAAAAGGAGAGGGGAGGATGGGATGACTCCCAAGCCTGATGACCTGATGGGTTTGATTCTCCGAGACCATACGGCAGAAGGACACAATCTATGGTTGGAGTTTGTCCTCTGGCCTCCTCACACATGCGCCTAAAACAAATAATGTTTTAAAAATGAACTGAGTTCCTAAGGTGGGGTAGTGTCACGATCCTTCTCAGAGACGACCATGTCCTCAGCATCAGGACCAGGACCAGGGCCAGGGCCTTGGCAGATGCAGTTAAGGATCTCTGAATAAGGTCACCCTGGTTTTAGACTGGTCCCCACATCTAATAGCAGGTGTTTTCCTAACAGACAAGCAGAGAGGCTTGCTCAGCATGCAGGAAGCCCTGAGATCCACTCCATCGTCAAAAACTGGGCATGGTTATTCACACCTACCACACTAGCACTTAGGAGGCAGAGGCTAAAGATCCAGGAGCTCCAGGTTATCCTCAGCCTCATAACGTGTTCAAGCCAACCTAAGCTATGTGAGGTCCTGTCTCAAACAAGACAAAGATGGGGGCGGTGCACAGTGCTGTAAGAACACAGCGCCCAGGGGTGACGCATGTTAGCTATGCAAGGCCGGGCCTGCCCATCTCCATCACAGACTGGACTCCTTCAGTACCGTGGGAGGAAGCATCCACACACATCTTGACTTCTGGATTCCGATCCTGAAAGATAATTTTCATCTCAGCCCACCATTTTGAAGTCCTGGCTGCCAGTCCAAAAGAGAGCAGCAGGTATACAGGTTTCTATTTTCCACAGTGGGAACATTTGTGACGTGTATGAGAAGGTAGTGTGAAGGAACACCAAGGAGCCCGTGGTGGGGTGTGTCAGATATGGCAGAGGCAGGAACATCCATCAAAGGCCCCGTGTTCCTGACTAAAGAATTGTAAATTTGAGATGCACTTGCCATAGGGACAAAAAAAGGGATTGAGGTATCCAGGGTGTCTGGACCAATGGTGGTAAAGGGAGGAGGAGATGGGAGTGGCCTGCGGCACACTTATCAGACTTAAGTCAAGTGACTTCCATCCAAAGTCTAAGCAGGACCAATCAGAAACCTTTCCCAAATATGAGCATGTCTGGGGAGGCATGGTCTTCATTTCGTTTTCTCAGAAGCCATCTTCTCTTGAATGGGTTTAGCAGGTCCTGGGCAAGTCCTGCTACTGCCCCCTCCATGCTTCTCTCCTCTCATTCTTCCCCTGCTCACGCTTCCCTGCTGCTGATAAAACCCTCATGAAAGAGCCCAGATAACAAGAGGGCCCATTCCCAGAATGTTTTGCAACCCAGCGTTAGTTAGTTTAGTTAGTTAGTTAGTTAGTTAGTTAGTTAGTTAGTTAGGTTTGGGCAGTTCTAGAATTCTTTAGAGGGACAAGATGATTGCATGAGGGATGGCCCTGTTCGAGGTGCCTGATTGCATGTCATCGCATAAGAACAGGATACCTGGTGCAAGAGAGGAAGGCCAAGCCAGCCTTCGAGCCCCCCATCAGTGAGAGGAAAGCCAAGCCAATCTCCGAGCCCCCCATCAGTGAGAGGAAGGCCAAGCCAGCCTCCGAGCCCCCTGTCAGTGAGAGGAAGGCCAAGCCAGCCTCGGAGCCCCC